GGGGGGGTGTATGTGTGTGCGTGGATGTGTGTGTGTGTATGTGTACGTGTGTGCATGTGTGTACGTAGGGATGTATAGGTATGTGTGTAAGTGTTTGTGAGCCTGACTCATGCGCGTGTGTGCAATTGTGTGTTTTGGGATGTGTCTGAGTGAGTCTGAGTGTTCAAGTGTCCGTTCGTGTATGTGTGTGAAGAGCAATCGTCACTAGTTGTTGTTGTTGTTTTTTCATCCAATAAAAACCAGTATTTGTCTGTAGCATATTCTACATATTACTCGGAGAAAACCCAAAGCATGATGTCAGTATAGTTTGTGTTTTATACCGAGGGCTTTTAGGATCAGACAATCACTGATTAATCTCTCATGCTTTCACCAATACTTGACTTGATATCGACTTTTTTCCTCAAGATAATTGTAGTTGCGTGTCTTGAACTGTGGATATCAATGTAAAGACTTAGGCGAAGAATGGAATGAGTACATAATTTGAAAGCTGAACAAAGTAGTGTTACATTCATTCTCGTTTCAACACCTTAGCCAGGTATCGGTGCCATTCTTTTTATTCAGTAAGTCTAGACTAATAAATCTTTACTTTTGGTTTTTATTTTTTGTTGTTTGATTTGGTTTTTGGGTTTGTTTGTTTTGTATTGTTTTGTTTTTGTTTTTGTTTTGTTGTTTTTTTTGTGGGTTTTTTTGGGGGGAGGGGGGGGGATTCTTTTTTTTAGCACCGCCTTAAGTTTAACGGACGTCGTTGACTCTAAGATTCAAGATTCTTCTTTGTACAATGGCGACATATTTACGTAAGGTCAAACATATCAAAGATCCTTGTTCTGCAATAATCATCCAAAAAGCTGACTTTGGTCAGTTCTGAGCTTTATTCAATTCCACATGCAATCTGTCGAGGGTTTTTTTTTTCCTTTTTATTAGTTAAAAAGTAAATACAAACTTTAACTCTAATTTAATCTTCTTTGAGAAAGTGGAAAACGGAGGACACATTGTCTAAACCGTTGCCCACCCCCTCAAAATGGAACATTTTTAGTTTTCAGCCTCACTATGCTCTCGTTATTTTTTTTTAGATATATAAAATAAATGAAATGATTCTTTTTACAGACACGCTGCTTCAGATTTCACTATATGTTGTCTCGGTTAGATATAAGTATAATACGAAAATAGAAAGAGCTCAGGTCTTTTTAAGGCACATACTACGTAGTAAAATAATATATCGGATAACCATGAAATTTAAACTTTTCTGTTTGAGTATGAAGCCAGGTCGGGCAGCACGCCCGATGCAACGCCACATGTTCAGTGTGTATTTAAAAGATAATTAATATCAACATACTTATGTGTGACAGATGAACATACACACATAATAGCAGACAGAAGAGAAAGCATTTGGAGAGAGGACGAGAGAGAGAGGGGGGGGGA